TGAGGATGTCATTGTTGATCATGTGGATGTCATCGCTGATCATGAGGATGTCATTGTTGATCATGTGGATGTCAACGCTGATCATGAGGATGTCATTGTTGATCATGTGGATGTCATCGCTGATCATGAGGATGTCATTGCTGATCATGAGGATGTCATCGCTGATCATGTGGATGTCATCGCTGATCATGAGGATGTCATCGCTGATCATGAGGATGTCATTGTTGATCATGTGGATGTCAACGCTGATCATGAGGATGTCATTGTTGATCATGTGGATGTCATCGCTGATCGTGTGGATCTCATTGTTAATCACGAGGATGTCATCGCTGATCGTGTGGATTTCGTTGATCGTGTGATCTTGTTAATGATCTTGAATCATGTGCTGTTTATGTGGATATCATCACTGATCATGTGAACGTCATTGTTGATCATGAGGATGTCATTGTTGATCATGTGGATGTCATCACTGATCATGTGAATGTCATTGTTGATCATGTGGATGTCATCGCTGATCGTGTGGATGTCATCGCTGATTGTGTGGATGTCATTGTTGATCGTGTGGATGTCATCACTGATCATGTGAATGTCATTGTTGATCATGAGGATGTCTACGCTGATCATGTGGATGTGGACTAATGTATGATATTTCTGATGAATACCAATCTGATTTTTCTTGGTGGTGATAGTGGTAGTGGTGAAATGCTTTTATTTCTAATGAATCTTTCAATAATAACGGTGCTCGTCTAAAGAAAACATTTGTTTTTCTATTGTTAATATCACAGTTGTTACTTCCACTGTAGTTGTTGTTACTGCTATTGTTATTATTGTCACTGTTCATTTGAGTTTTATCCTCTGTTGTATTTTAAATTGTGACCAAGATGTCTTTTTATCATAAATTTCAACTGCTATACATATACATGTATATTTATTTTATAATTTCGTCGTACAGATTGGCTGGACATGTGGCGGTCGTTTCCATTTTGTGAGATCAGTTAGACAGTATGTAAAGCGTATCATATGTAAAGTAGTGTTTGATTGTTTGTTTGTAGAGTCTTACCATCATCTTTTATAGGTAGTATTTCAAACTTGAATGGATAATCACGTGGTATGCTGACATGACGTTTCAGTTCATCCTCGGCCACAACACGGCTTTGAGAGAATTTGTTAGCAATGCGAATAATCTGGGAGGAGAAACACTGGTTGTGAGTCAAGCTTCGAAGTTGCCATACTAGTAATTAAAGCCGGAGGGTCATCACCTGCGCACGCGCGGGAATTGAGTCCCAAGCGACGATAACAACACACACTAAAAATGCAAAGGCTCATGGGTAGACGCTTGTTTGTAAACAATGACACGCTGTGGCCATCTGACGCATGCGCAGGTGACGACTCCCCGCTTTAATCATTATACAAATATAAAAAAATACTGGTATAATAACAGAAAGAAAAATCACACGTCACAGGCTTCTAAAAGTATAGCTGTCAAATATGCATAACATGTTTTTTTTTCCAATTGAAAAAGAAGATATTCATTTATGACAGTTATTTTTACTTATTAGGATTGGGTTAGACTGGCGCAGTCGGGCGATTAATTTGTTTTTGTAGTTTAAATAAAATAAAAAAAATCGCGAAATGGAGGTGTTAGCGCGAAATCCCCTAACACCGAACACCTTCATTTCGCGATTTTTGTTATTTTATAACAAAATGACATGGCTCATTGTCACAGAAGTCGGTACAATATAATGAGTATAATATAATAAGTTTACATATTTTTCAAGTTGAAATTTCAATTCACATCTATAGATTTGTCACGTGCAAATCATATTGTATTGCGTAATTTCTGTTATATAGAATGTGAAGACAAACCTGTCCACTTGATATTGTCTCACAGTTATCATTGCCATGCCAACCACTTATAACTTTGACTATTTGAGGCAGTTCAAAGTGTTTAATGAGATGTTTTAGTGTGTACACTTTCTTGGACCACTTTATGACCGGGCCTGTATTTGATTGAGATTTCGACATTTTCAGAGCAAGGAATCTGCAATAAAACAATAGGGTTTGTTATAATATAGATTGAAGCCATCATTTGTAGTCAACTTATTTGTGTAATGGTGACGCAAATGGTAGCCAAGATCTCATTGGGGAGGAGAGAATCTCGTGACTTTTTTTGCATATTAATGTTCTATTCTCTTTCATCATCATAATCACTGCGCTAAATACAATGGTTAACGTGATGGGGAGAACAGAGGAGGATATAACAATAGAGATAGAACACTATTGCGATTTTGACGGTAATTTTGGAAAAAGGTCTATTGTAAGGTAGACTTCTGCTTTGATTCATAGAGTTGAAATCCATCTGGAGGTATAGAACAAAGCCTAGTTTTTTTTGCTCTTTAAATATACAGCATATAAAAGAGAGTCTGACTAATTGATTTCGGAACATACAAATAGATCTTAAATAGGTCACACTCCTAATACGTCCACAGGTTACAACCCTAGGTATCTATAACGTTCCTATACAAAGATTACTACCCTAGGTATATATAACGTTCCTATACACAGGTTACTACCCTAGGTATATATAACGTTCTTATACACAGATTACAACCCTAGGTATATTTAACGTTCCAATACACAGGTTACTACCCTAGGTATATATAACGTTCCTATACACAGGTTACTACCCTAGGTATATATAACGTTCCTATACACAGGTTACAACCCTAGGTATATATAACGTTCCTATACACAGGTTACAACCCTAGGTATATATAACGTTCCTATACACAGGTTACTACCCTAGGTATATATAACGTTCCTATACACAGGTTACAACCCTAGGTATATATAACGTTCATATACACAGGTTACTACCCTAGGTATATATAACGTTCCTATACACAGGTTACTACCCTAGGTATATATAACGTTCCTATACACAGGTTACTACCTTAAGTATATATAACGTTCCTATACACAGATTACAACCCTAGGTATATATAACGTTTCTATACACAGGTTACTACCCTAGGTATATATAACGTTCCTATACACAGGTTACTACCCTAGGTATATATAACGTTCCTATACACAGGTTACTACCCTAGGTATATATAACGTTCCTATACACAGGTTACAACCCTAGGTATATATAACGTTCCTAGACGCAGGTCACATCGCAAGGTATTATAAAATATAACTCCCCTAGACACTGCGAAGTTGAAGAGCACACGTTATCCATTGCAAAACACACAACTCGCGAAAAAATAAACATCAGCAGGTCACATCCCCATGTATATATAACGCCCCCTAAATACAGGTCACAGTCCTAGGTATATAACGTCCCTAGACACAGGTCACATCCCCATGTATATGTAACGTCTCCTAGATACAGGTCACAGCCCTAGGTATATATAACGTCCCTAGACACAGGTCACATCCCCATGTATATGTAACGTCTCCTAGATACAGGTCACAGCCCTAGGTATATATAACGTCCCTAGACACAGGTCACATCCCCATGTATATGTAACGTCTCCTAGATACAGGTCACAGCCCTAGGTATATATAACGTCCCTAGACACAGGTCACATTCCCTTGTATATATAACGCCCCCTAGATACAGGTCACAGCCCTAGGTATATAACGTCCCAAGACACAGGTGACACCCCCATGTATATATAACGCCCCCTAGATACAGGTCACAGCCCTAGGTATATAACGTCCCTAGACATAGGTCACATCCCCATGTATATATAACGCCCCCTAGATACAGGTCACGTCCCTAGACACAGGTCACTTCCCCATGTATATATAACGCCCCCTAGATACAGGTCACAACTCTAGGTATATATAACGTCTCTATACACAGGTCACAACCCTAGGTGTATATATAACGTTCCTAGACACAGGTCACAACCCTGGGTATATATAACGTCCCTAGACACAGGTCACATCCCCATGTATATATAACGCCCCTAGATACAGGTCACAGCACTAGGTATATAACGTCCCTAGACATAGGTCACATCCCCATGTATATATAACGCCCCCTAGATACAGGTCACGTCCCTAGACACAGGTCACTTCCCCATGTATATATAACGCCCCCTAGATACAGGTCACAACTCTAGGTATATAACGTCCTTACACACATGACACATCGCAAGGTATTATAAAATATAACTCCCCTTGACACTGCGGAGTTGAAGAGCACACGCTATCCATTGCAAAGCACACAAATCGCTGAAAAAATAAACATCAACAGGTCACATCCCCGTGTATATATAACGCTTCCTAGATACAGGTCACAACCCTAGGTATATATAACGTCTCTATACACAGATCACAACCCTGGGTGTATATATAACGTTCCTAGACACGGGTCACAACCCTGGTTATATATAACGTTCCTAGACACAGGTGACAACCCTAGGTATATATAACGTCTCTATACACAGGTTACTACCCTAGGTATATATAACGTTCCTATACACAGGTCACAACCATAGGTATATATAACGTTCCTATACACAGGTTACAACCCTAGGTATATATAACGTTCCTATACACAGGTTACAACCCTAGGTATATATAACGTTCCTATACACAGGTTACAACCCTAGGTATATATAACGTTCCTAGACACAGGTCACAACCCTAGGCCCCCTAGGTTTATTCTGTGTGAGGGCAAACATTATGCTACGTAAATTAAGAACTGCAGCAACGAAGTCAAACTTTTGCTATTAAACATTCTGTTCTAGTTTGTATTGCTGCCAATTATGGTGTATGTATAGAAAATCTACCGTTAATGCCCTTCGGGTCAGTTATAATAATGCTTTCCGTAAACTGTTGGGGTACGCCCGTGACTGTAGCGCAAGCACTATGTTCGTTGAAAACCGCACAAACACATTTACCAGTTTATATAGAAAGCTAATTTATGCTTTTATGGATCGATTACGAACATCAAACAATACACTTGTGTGTGCCTTGCTCACTAGTGATGTGAGATGGAAGTCTACCTTAGTGCAGCATTGGACAAAGGTAGTCTACTGAGTTTAGTATAGTTTTCAAATCTGTATGGTTTGTCATTTTATTTTATTACATATTTGTTTGTATCTTTTTCTTTATATATGGACTATGTCTGAAATAAAACCATAATAATAATAATAATAATAATAATAATAATAATAATAATAATAATAATAATAATAATAATAATAATAATAATAATAATAATAATAATAATAATAATAATATATCAGACGCTTGCATACCCTCATCATATCCATTTATCACAATATTGTACATGTCTTTTGTTACGACTTACTCTAGACACTCATCAATCCCAGCATGCATCACAGTTTTGTATTCAACATTGGGCACTGAATACCAAATATGACTCAAGCCTACGAGGCGTGAATTGGTCGATGTTTGAACTGAAGTCCCAGAAGACTGTATCAAATGCAAAATAATTTGCTATGCAAGCGACATCATCAATT